GAGTATGACTAACCTTTATTACCCTATGTTAAATCCGAGCCACCACCCAGAACGTCCCACAGTTACAAAACCCACCGTATGATCCCAACAGTTGCAAGTATATTAGCACTGACAGATGCCTGATGCAGGTTTGCCTTTGTTATTTTAACACTCCTCTTTTTTTGCAGTCTGCTTCAACATTTTTTTTTCCATAATGGGAACCTTGTTCTCACTAATCTGAATGCCCCAATAAGACGCATAATTGCCCAGAGCCTAAAGGCAGGAAACAAGGATGACTGTGGGAGCAACAGCACAGAGATCATACCGCCTCTGATCAGAATCGCAGCAGGACAGAGAAACATCGCTACGTGTTTAAACAACTTCAGAGAAAAGTTCAAACCATTCCCACAGGTTGCTTTCAGTTCCAACTTATGTGCATAACGTTAAAAGAAAAAAAAAAAAAAAGTAACAACCACACTTGGCATTGCCTGTCTTTAGTGGCTGGATAACGTCAAAGAGCGGGCCATTGGGCAGGATTTTGAAAAGTATAGAAAGGATTTTATCAGGTGAAATGCAAAGAGCACAGTTTTCTCCGAGGAGGAAGAGGCAACCAATACGCACCGGCCTTCATTCTGCAGGGCACATCTACCCAGGCCAAAAGCCCCAAGACTCCCCTGCCTTCCACCCCAAAAGCTTTATTTTCCAGTCGAACCTTTTCAATGTCAATAGTTTTCCGTTACTGAATGTTTCACCCTGACATAACACTGATAGTCCAATAATGTTTTTTAGATTATTTGATTAAATACATATTCCAACTTGCTAAACATATGAGCTATCATGCAACCGGCTGAAATGACCTAAAAGACGTGAAATCCTGGCTATGCGATATTTTCCTTCTCAGTTCAGTGTTCAGGGAACTAAACCATGATGTCCAGAGCTGAAGACTTCAGCTGCTACAGTTGGAGCTACAGAGCCCAAACTCCAGAGCTGGAGAAGGAGCAGCTCCTTTACTCTGTGGACTGGGAACAAAAAGGAACCTGCAATATGTAACAAAAAATAATGGCTGCAGAAAGAAATACTGTCATGAGCATCTAAGTTTGAATCTTGAACAAGCTCCTCCTTACACAGCAGCCACCTGCCCATTTGACAGATGAAGGAATTAATCAGAAACCTTTAAGGCAAATAGCATAAACCATTACAATGTGAATTAAAGAGTCATAGTTCTATAACAGCTTACGTCCTCTCTGGATCAGTCCAAAAAAGTGATTTATAACACGCTCTCAACAGTGGATTAAAAGGGTAGTAGAGTTCAGTTAAATTAGCCTAACGATGCATTACCTGAAAAAATCTTTTTTTCCCCCAAGTAGGCTGAACTGGAGCGTATAGGATCTGTGCCACAACAGAAAAAGCAAAACGCTGCATTGCTAGATCAACATCAGATGAACACACGCGACTCTGAACGTTATGCCTTTTCTCTTCTTTTCTGGGGCAAAATCTGATCTTTGTGAGCTATGCTGCACATCACTCCAATAATTACATACAGAGACAGAATAAATAATCGACAGTAAATTCTGCTTATCCAAAGAATACTTTCTAACTGTTCTAAAATTCTACCTCATGAAGCTCACATCGCATTACAATTTCCATAATAAATGTGGAATTATTTGCAAAATTAGGGAAAAGAATTAGCATACACATAGGAATGTTTAACCACCTGCGCTGCTTTCAAATTGGATTAGATTTCGGCTCATTTTTTGCTGGTTTTATCAAGCCATGGTACAGTTTGTCATTTTACCTGGATCGCTTCAGAAACAGGATTTTCTTCTGTTTTTACACAGTTTGAATAATTTCGGTTTGACTCTTTCTGCCAGATTACATCCACCTACTCCTTCCCAAATTCTGCTTTAATAACCTCACACTTTTCCTCGCTGCTTGCTTATTCAGAAATGGTTTCCTTACAGCCTTTGCCTGCACCCTTTCATTAGAAGTAACGTGATCGTCAACAGCTGTAACAGGATAAAATAAAGACAGCAAAGACCAGACTCTTCACCGTTCGCGACTGTGGAGCGATGATGATTTATGTCAACTGAGCATGCCGTCCACGCTGAGATTTTTACTTTACCCAAGCAACTGTTAGACAGAGCCCACAGCCAGGTTTGCACAGCCCCGCGTTGGCGCTTGTCCCACTCGTTCATGGAGCAGGTACAGAAGTAGGCGTCTCCCCAGCCCGGGGGCGGCGGGAGCCTGCCGGGCCCTGGCTCGGGCCTCGGGCCAGCACAGACCAAGAGCCTGCCGGACTCTGCCCCGTCCCCATCAGCCCTGCGAGTGCACCCAAACAGAGCGGCACAGGCATGCTTTGCAATCTAAGCACCAAACTACTTGGGCACGTGCTCACGGACTATAGACAAAAGGGCCTTTGAAAAATCCGGCCTTTTGATATACAAAAGTATAACGTGTATTTCATGCAATCAAAGAATCTTTATAATGCAATGGGAGATCATATAACAGGCTATTTCAAATTTATGATGATGGATTTTGGCGAGGTGATGTTATAAACCGTGCCACTTGACTAACACTTCCATTTTTAGGAAGAAATGTTAATGGACAGAATAAGTGACAGATTAACTGCTTCTCCTGAGCTGTTTAGGAGGCAACGCTGCATATAGCTATGCGCTTGACCAGCAGCTGAAGCCTTTTTTTAAAAAAAAAAAAAACAAAAAAAAAAAAACAGGTTTATACAGTGTAAAATTAACCAAGGGAGCAGCTCTCTCCATTTCTTCTCGTAATAGGACAGTTGTTAGCACACCTCCTACCAGGCCAATTTTTCTTACTCTTCAATAATATCCATATCTCTTTCTCTAACAATTATTTTGGCCAAACAGTATCTAATTTCCTGCTTTTTCACATCACATATAGCAAGAATTCCTTCTGGAAGCCTATCATTATATTTATAATTATACTATAGCAAGGAGACAAAGGTTTAAAATAGAAGAAATAATATGTTCTCATACAGTACTTACAATTGATTTGATGTTATTTTCTTTTGCCAGTTCCATTGAGGATTTATAGCAATTTGCCAAGTCTTTTTTATGAGCGTCAGTGAGATGGCCTCTTGCTATTGGCCCAACAGTATGGATCACATCTGCAAAAAAATGAAACAAACCAAAAAAATTACGTTCCTAAGGTGGTTTATTACTCATTTCGTGACACTGCGGAACTACAATGTGGGTCGACCCCCCTTCTGTTATTGTACCAAGGCACAGAGGTATGAATAGTATCATAAGAAAACCCTTGTAACAAGTAATCATGAAATCAGACATATCTTCTGGTCAAATTAAACAAAACTCAAAAAACTGTAAAGGTTCAATTTCAAACTAGGGGCATAGCTGGATTAAATAAAAAAAGAGAAAAACATACTAATCCCTGGTTAAATGAAATATCTTCATAAACATTTTAAACCTTCTGGACTGTACAACTATTTGAAACAGTCATTTCACCCCTTCAAGACCCACTCACTGGGTAAGCCTACTCCACAAAAACCTCAGCACCTAGAACATGATATATATGTCTTAACTTCTTATGTCATACGTTGCATTTTTTCTCAGTACCCATGTCCAAAGGAGACAAGTTCTGACCTGCGAATGCATTACTTATCCAAGGTATATGCTCTCCTCTCACATCAGAACAGATGGAGACACGATACGATAAGACAATATCTTATTCTCTTTGAAGAAATATAATGAACAAAACCAGAAAGCACAGTCAGAGAGAGTATTACGAAGGATGCCTCTGGACTCATTGAAATCAGATGCTGCAATCAATCAACAAAGTCTTTAAAATGCTATCAGAAAAATGAAATAAAAAGCCTGCAGTAAAAAAGCTGGAAGACAAATCTTCAAACTAAAAGCTGCCATGAAAAATTATTATTATTACTTTTTTATTTCTTTAATTTTTATTTTTTTACACTTGACAAGTAGCAAGCACGCTTACTTTTCAAATGTCATTATTCTAGTGTGTCCACGCAGGGTACAGAAGGAGTTAGGGTGACAGGTTTTTTTTTTTTTTTAAATCATCCTCTGCAAACTACAGCAGCAGCAATAAACAGTGGCGCGATCTTTCATAAATTCACTCTAGAAAAGCAAAACTTCTTGGAGGCCACTATCTTCGAACAACTCTGGCATAGACAGTCCCTTCACCATACTTCTCTGGCTGGAATTGAGCTTTGCTTCCAGCATTTTAAATTGAAATTGTTGAAGTTCCGCAAGTAAAAGCATGCAAGAGAACCTCAGTGGCCATCAACACAGAGGAATCAGCTCTGATGGGAAACTGGAAACCCATGGCAGCCAGACTTCCTAACTGCTATGGAAAAAAACTCCTCGTACTGAGAAGTACATATAGGGTTAACTACTTTCTGTTTGAGTCATGGTAATTTTCACTAGTTGTGGGAACAAGATGGACAGATTAGATAATTTCTGTTGAACGGCGCAGCTGCTCTGCAGTAACTACAGCAAACTCGCCACGACGCAGGTATTCGGCGCTTGCTCGCTGCTGAGCGGGATGATAGGAGGCCATCGAACCCAGCAGAACGGCTCTGCCCTTGAGTTCAGAGAACAGTCCATTTACGTGCACACTTTAGCTACTCTAATAAACGGAGAACTATTAACACCTAGAGAAAAAGAAATAGCATAACTAGCTTAATATTTGCTTCTGCTTGCAGAGATAAGGTCGTGTGAGCACTTCCATGAGGAAGCACCGTAATTTCAGGTGTGTGTATAAGGTGGCTACAGCGGTTGGCTTCAGGTTGAAACTTTCCAAGCGAGGTTTCTATATTTGAATGTGCCTGCACTTGGCTTTTAGCAGCTTCAGAGAAAGAAAAAGCACCTCTTGACTTTATTTCTTGCTATTTGTTTCTGAAAGAGCCAAGCTGAGCAAGGGGAAGGAATACATATCTATTAGTTACACCAAGGAGGAGTTTGGGGGAACAGCCCACATCCCAAAACTCATGCTTGGGTCTTCCTGTACAAAACTCTCATTGCTATAATTTCTACACGTGCTTCCCTCATTGAATGTTTAATGCCATTCCTCTGGTCTTCCATTATTAAATGCTGTCTCTAAAAGTGCTCAGCTCAGCGAACGGGAAGACTTTTCTTGTCATTTTGTTTCAGCACTTCCTGATGATGTCTCTTCACCAACTCCTTATCGCTGCACCAGACGCTTCAGGTAAATAGGCAACCTTTAATGCAATTATTGGCTTTTACGTTTTAATTTTTACAAGCCCAGAATAGATGGCTCCTTAGACAAGGCTCTGAACATGGTCATGAATTGGTTTGCAATACATGAAGACTACTGCAATTGTTTTAAAAGTTTATCATCCTCAAAAATTGCTTTTCTTAGGCACATTATTATTCATAAACACACGATACAGCAAGACTTTACTAGCAGAGCAATATTTAATAATGTCTCAGTCTGTTTCATGGTCAGCAGACACATAGGGAACTGAAGATTTTGCTGTTGTACTCTGCAAGTGAAATTAGTGTAGCCATACGTTGCCTAAGCTACACGCTACTGCGCTCAAGTTATTCCCCAGTACATTAAGGGTCTGCAGAAAGATAAAATGCTTTGTGATTACATAGACATAAAGGAAATAAACCAGAAAATAAAACAACTTCCCACCACCACCCCCAGCCCACGCAGTTAATATAGGAGGATCAGATATTGCAGACTAAAGCAGAGCCGTTTATTTGTAATATCTCTACAAAGATCGCGCCGGCAGGCCTGTCGTGAGAAAGTTTCCTTTCTGCCCTCATGCCCTTACGCAGCTGCCCGGAGCCTGGCTGCTTTGCGCCCGGCATTCGTGCAAGGGAAAAGCAAGGCGCAGGGCTGCTGCCCTCCCAGCCCGGCCACCTGCGACAGCAGCCAACCCCTCGAGCCGCCCGCTCCGCCGGCCACCCACGGTCACCGATGGACGAGCCCTGTACGACGGTCTCCTGCATTAGCCTACCCAGGACAAACATCCCCTCCTCAGAGGTGGCAAGCGCGTGGTCTTCCCGCAGCAAACACAACTTCTAGGTCCTATTCGCATGACGGTTAAGGACTCGGACAGGAATTTTGCACGGGGCTGAGTTTTACCGCAGGAGAACGCAAAGCGCCTGCGGAGGGCAGAGCCGACGCGAGGACCAGCGCGGCGTGCAGGCGCCCCGCGGCGCGAAGCAGGCAAACAGTCCCATCACCCACAGATTTTTAACTGGCAGAAGATCAGAGAAAACAGCAGAAAGATTGGAGTTGGCTGGAAAAACCCCGCTAGAGATCACCGCTAGCGGATAGCTCCTCGTCCGCCTCGGAGCCCTGGCGCCGCTTTGCTCTCCGAGCAGTTTATGAGGTCAAACAGGAGCAAGCGATACCAACGGTTTCCCCCCCGCCGAGTGTCCCCCAATGGCTTTTCCCTTCTTTAAAAAAAAAAAAAACAAGCAAACAAGGTAAAATACATAATGGCCAGCTCTCACAGAAAACGCCTCGGCTACCATTGGCAGTATTTTAATTTTTAAGTCAAATTAAGCTGTCAGCATTGCTTTAAAGCTTCTGATTTATTGCGGTCAGTCTCCAAGCCAAGCACTTTGATAAGAAACTTCATTTAAAAGGAGAGCTGCAATCCACGTGCTCGTAAATCACTTGCTCTGTGCATACAGCAGAAAGGTTTGCTTACGTTTTTAACGGCACGCAGAGGTGGCGAGCCCCAGGGGAAGGTATACTTTCATCTGGGATTCGGGCCACAGCAACGCATCAAACTGCAGCTAACGACAGCGAAGCTGCTTCGGCTTAAAGCAACGTTTATAGGGGAAGGAGATATTTTCCCTAC